GTTAACAAATAAATGGATAGAGAAGCTGTGGTATATGCACACAATGGAATACTATAATGCATTGAAAAACAAGGAACTCATGCAATATTATTCAAAACTGGTGATTCTGGAGGACATTATGCTGAGTGAGGTATCTCAGTCACAAAAGGACAAATACTGCATGGTGCTACTGTTGTAGAATGCGACTGACATCAGGGTTGGGGTAAGACTGAGAAAAACTGGATAAATTATGTATATTGCATTGAAACAGATGAGGGAGAGAACAGTTTAAAAGCGATATATGATAGGGTATTATGGTTATCACAAGAGTTCAGAATGAAGGTTATATAGTGGAGTGTACTTGGGGTGGTGGGGGGATTGTATACCAATGAAGGAAGTTTTCTTTTACTTTTCAAAGAGAAGAGAGAACTGGGGGTAAGAGGGGCAGGGAGAAAAGTGCAACAATGAATGAGTGGAAATTAAAAATCTCTATAAATGTTCATTAAAATTAATAAAACTTTTAAAAAATGAAAAAAATTTCAGCTTAATCATCTCTTTTTTATACCTTGACTATCTTTCCCATTCATATGCTTACAGCCTTGAGCTTCTGGTTGATGGAGCTTTTTAAAAATCTGGCTGGTTTTTGTCCTAGGCCACTCAAGATGTATATTTGCTTTCATTTTCTTTCAGTGATTGTATTGCTGTTGTGAATCATTGACTCAGAACTGACCTATAACTGACCCTCAGGTGGGTTTTCAGAGGCAGTTTAATCACGCTGAAGGATATAGCCTATCCTTCTTCCACAGAGCAGCTAGCTAGCTGGTGGACTCTGTGTGTCTTTGGGATTGCAGTGCAGCTTCTTGCCAGGAGGCCACTGGAGCTCCCTTTTCAGCCATTACAAGTTAGCAATAGTCAAAATAACTAGCTCAGAATTAAGTTTCATTTATCAGGTCCTTTGTTCTTTCTCTTACAAAGTTTCATGTTTCCTTGAGGCTAAAACCATTGTTGGGGATCTTGTAGGAGTGGCCTGGGAGCAGTGTCTGATTTCCTCTAACTTCACAGTGCCTTGTAGTTGGAACAAGCTGGTATCTGACCATTCAGTGGGGTTTTTGGAGACTGTAAATTATACAACAGGAGATTGTTCATCTTTCTTCCTTGTAGCCACTGATGAATTCAAACCAGCAGAGACACCATCTTTGGGTGAGCAGCTTCCTACAGATTATGCCTCCAGAAGGGAGAGGATAAAATTAAAGAGCTAAAAAGTTATTCCCATTAGACAAAGATACCTCCTCTTTCCAACCTTTCCAAGCAGTTCTGACATTAGCCCTGTCTTCTATGGTTGTCTCTACTTCGATGCTGGCTTCCATAAGTTCTTGGTCACACACAACTCAGAGACAAAAAAAAAAAAATCACTATTTTACGGTTTAAAAGACTGTCCAAGGAAAGTTGTGCTGTTAATCTAAAGGATATGCTTTACTTGTGGCTCGAATTCACTAACTCCTCCTTGGAAGAAAGATGGCTGATCTTGTCCTGTGCAATTTACAGCCTCAAGGAACTTGCTAGAGTGTTAGCTATGAGTTGATTCTGACTAGATGGCAAACAGTTTCTTGTTTTGCTTTTTTAGTAGTATAAACAGGTTATATAAAACAGTTTATACAAAGAAAGAGCAAGGACAAATGATATAACACAGTAGAACATTACAGATCTGAAAATGTATAGATTTAAAAATAATGGATTGGTGAAATGAATAAACTATTGCACTTAATTCCCCAATGTTGTCTTCCGGGATCAATTCTAGTCCCTGTTCCCTAGTTGAACCCATTTAGCCATATAGTAATAACTAACAATTATGGGAAGTTTACTGCATGCCATATGCTGTTCTAATCACTTTACATGGTGTTATGAGCTGAATTATATCTCCCTACAATACTACTGAAATCCTGGCCAAATGCTATCATGAACCAATCACGTGGTTTAATCAGTTGGTCTTGAGCTGGACAGACCACTGCTGTAATCTAATGTAATCTAATCAATCAGCCAATTGAAGTCATTGCAGAGTAGTGTGTACTCTAAATTTTATCAGGCTGAGTTATAAAGAACAGACCAGGCACAGAGGCACACCAAGAAGACGATGGGTACCAACAACAGGTAGGGCAGGAAGAATTCCTGGAAGACTGACAAGGAAGGAATTGTCATGACCAATCCTGGTTTGGATTTTTTAGCCTCCAAAACAGGGTGAAAATAAATTGCTATTGTTCAAAGTTCCTTACTTAGAGTACTTTTTGTTATAGCAGCATGAGAAAGCTAAGACATTATGGTTATCCTATTGAGTTCTTAGCTCATCCTTAGGTAGTATTTCTATTAACTGGCAGATAAATAAATAGAAAGTCAGAAATTTTGTCTTAGGCTTAACAGCCATGAGATGTTAGAGCCGAGATTAAAACTCAAGTGATCTCATTCCAGAACCTGCACAGCAAGCCACCTGCTTCCCTTCTGCTGGGGAACAAGCCTTGCCCCAGCCCTCCTGGAGCTGCTTCTTCTATCTTCCTGGTCCTTCTTAAGGATGGGGTTTGTGTAGTTGTGATTCTAGGCAGCCTACATTGGAATCTTGGTTTCCTGGGAGTTTGGTTGACAAAAATGATGCAAAGAATTCAGATATGGTTTTTTTTTCTTTTCCCCTCAGCATCTACACATAGTACAGAACTGCACAACAGGGCAACACAGAATTCTATTAGAATCTCTTTTTTCCTGACCTTTCAGGTGCTACATAGAGAATGTCTCCTGCAAGTTATCTGTCATTGGGTCTGAGGAGGTTAGGTACTAAACAGATCAGTGAAGGGCCAGTCTCTTCTACACTCTGTGCCTGGCCCTTTGGCCTCTGGTTTGGACTCCTTGGGACTGCTGTAATCATTAACCGGTGCAGGAAACCCACAGACCATAAGATGCCACAGAGCCTGTTTGACTAGAGGCAGCATCTACTGAAGTCCTGAGATGGAGAGAAGTAAAGAAAGATGTGGTGGCGAGGGGCTGGCAGAGCCAAAGCCTGGCGGTGGGTCCCGGGAGCTGAGGCTGAGGAGGGAGATTGGCCTGTGGAGTGCTGTGTGTCTGATTGCTGGCTGCATGATTGGCTCTGGCATCTTCATGTCACCACAGGGTGTGCTTGTCTACATGGGCAGCCCTGGGGCCAGTCTTGTGGTCTGGGCAGTCTGTGGTCTCCTGGCCACCCTGGGTGCCCTGTGCTATGCCGAACTGGGCGCCCTTATTCCTGAATCTGGGGGGGAGTATGCCTACATCCTGAGGACCTTTGGCTCCTTGCCAGCCTTCTTGGTCATCTATACTTTTGTGCTGGTTGGCAGACCAGCGGCCATTGCTGCAATCTCTTTGAGCTTTGCTGAGTACGTAGTGGCCCCCTTTTATCTGCGCTGCTCCTCAGTGCCCCAGGTGGTGGTTAAGGGAGTGGCTGCATCCAGTATCCTGCTGCTGATGCTGGTCAACTGCTGGAGCTCGAGGCTGGCCACCATGCTGATCAACGTGTGCACAGTGGCCAAAGTGCTGTCACTGCTCATTGTCATTGGGGGTGGGGCCGTGGTGCTGGGCCAGGGCCGGGCCCGCACAGAAGCCCTTCTGCACGCCTTCCACAACACCACGCAGCAGGCCGGGCGCATCGGCATAGCCTTCTACCAAGGCCTGTGGTCCTTTGACGGCTGGAATAGCATCAACTATGTGACGGAGGAGCTTAGGAATCCACAGGTGAGTCTGTGATGCCACTTCTGGGGGTGAACTATCCAAACACGAGCTCCAATTATTGTTGGTTGTAATGACTCAGACTCATGAGCAATCTAGATGGAAACATGGGCTCCTTGCCTGTACTCGTGGGACTGAATGAGAGGCTGCTGTCTACCTTTATTTGCTTATGCAATTATATCAATAAGAAGTCCTCGAGTAAGCATAGAGTTTATAGAGCTACACCCATGGCCTCATTTTGCTGTCATGCAAGGCATGCATTACTAGCATCACATTTTTCAAATGGGAAAACTGAGATGTAGAAAGGGGAAGTGATTTTGAGATTATATGTTCATAAAGCATCTTGCTTACTGTATCAGCTTAATATTTCTTCACTTTTCTTTGCAGAACATCTCAGTAGATAATTCATAGTTTCTCAGACATGGGAGCAACCATAACACATAGCCTAGTTTAGGACAGGGGACGCACAAGTCCAGCCTGACAGCCCACCTGTGAGTCCCCCTTTGCACCCTTAGTGGGGAAAACAGGTCTGCATATTAAGACTTAGAATATTTGAGCTCCTCAGTTACTGAAAGGAGCTTGGGTGATGTAGTCCATAGGGCATTTTACTGTAAAGCCAAAGGCGTCACTTCTCTGTGGTTGTATGCACCAGGGGCTTGTAGAGAGAAGGAATGGTAATCTCATCTCATGTGATTTACAGCCTTGGGAAACCTGCTGGAGGGTCAGCTAGGAATCGGTTCCAACTGGAAGGTGATAAATTTACGTTCTGAGTTAGTTACCACAAGGAATTCTGGTGGTGTACTGTAAAGTGTGTTGAACTACTAACGAAGAGTTTAGCAGTTCAAATCCACTAGCAACCCTGGGGAAGCAAGATGGGCAGCGTCTTCCTCTTAGGTTTTATAGCCTCAGAAGCAGATGGAGGGCTGCTATGAGTCAGCATTGACTCGGAAGCAGGGGGTTGGAGTTTTGATTCACAGACTACAATGTGCCAACTCCTGACATAGAGCAGTTTAAGCAAACATGGATTTCAATGTCAACAGGGAGACATTTGAAATACTGGCACTAACGTTGCCCTCTAAAGCACACATTAAATGTGCCTTTGTTAATTTGACATGATTTTTCATGGAACTGTAGAACATGTGTCAAACCAACACCAGCCTTATCCCTAGGATGCCCAGGATTTGAGCAAATAACTTGAGTAAATACTCAGGAATATAACTATGAAACCTCATGGATCTTCTGTTGTATTAGCCAGAATTTGGTCTGTGGTACACTCAGGATTCTGTCATTGTCACAGCTCATTAGCTGATGGACATCCTATCCTGAAAACCTGTTGGGGTCAGCTATGAGTCTGTTTTGACTTGATGGTAATGTAGAGGATTTTTTTGTTTGTTTGTTTTTATTAAACTATCCAAGGTACTCAAGTTCAGAAGTATGTTTCTTCCCTCTGCTTTGACTTGGGGCTGAATCATCCGTGGTGAGGTCTTCAGGAAGTGGAGGGGTACAGGACTCTGCTCCTCTGGTCCATCTTTGTGACAAGTGGCTTCATTAGAGTCTAATTTGAGCCACAGTTTCATAACAGGGATGAAGAGGAACTAGATAATCCCTGCTGTGATTGGGGCATCCTGTAGCCTCAGATTGCCAGTTTAGGGCAGAATAGGACTTGAAAGGATTGAGGTGCTCTCTACATCAAATGAGAATCCATCACCATCCAATTTGCTTCATTTTTCCCAAGTTTGCAACATGACCAGCTAGGCAAGTGTACCAATTATTCTGATTATCCAAGATTGAGAAACTTTTGAAAATGCTGAACTTTCAGTGTTACAACCCAAAGTCCTAGGAAAACCAGATGAATTGGTCACCTATCTGCTGCCTACCCTTAGAGGACAATGAAGTAAGTCAAGTCAGGGCATGATTGGTAGGGTCCTGCCTCCATTGGAATTCAGAATAGGGAAATTCCCAGAGAAGCAGGGACCTTTCCCAACAGACTTCCTGAATGAGGAAAACTGGAGTGGAGTGGAGGGTACACGGGCTGATACTGCTTATGGCAAAAACAGTTGCAGAAACAAAATGAGCATAAACTCAGAGTCAGAAGGCACAGGGAATGTTTGTGTCACAGGGTCTATGAGGGGTCTGTTAAGACACAATCATCTCTGAAGCTCAGAACAGGTTTCCAAACTCAACCTCAACCTCAACTCTAATTCTTATACTTATCTCCAAAGTTTTCTGTGGGCAGCTCTAGCAGAATGTTCTGGAAAATGATATTTATATCCAGATGATGAGTAGAGTTAGATACAGATACTTAAATAGGGGAGAGAGTTCTATTTGTGTTGGGATATACCTCTTTGTCACCATTTGGGAGAAATTCCTTTGCATCTTGGTAGAGAGTTACCTTTTCTCTCTTTGTTTTAATGTTACATTTTAAATTTCAGTCACAACAATGCCATGTCTGCACACTTTAGTGCTGTGTCCAGACCTTGATTAGGGTAAAGGAGGTGGCCTCATCGGTTCTTGCCTGGCCTTTCCTAGGTAAGTTGGAAGGCATCTATGATAAGTTTTTCAGTGCCTAGGACATTGACTTCTGGAAGTTCTTTCCTACCTTGGAGTCTAAAGATATCTGTTCAAGACCGGTCTGAGTTGGGGCATGTTGGGAATGCAGAAGAGGATTCTGTGGGTCCAGAAACAACCTTGCCCTGTTCATTTGCTCCTGGCTCCAGAATGGAGTCAAATGCTGAGTGAGGAGTGGGAGGGAGCAGAGCAGACTGCATTACACCTTAATGAAGCTTCGACTCCTTTCTCAATATTTTTTGAATGCCTGCTCAATATGCTTGTTAAGTAACTGTGGGTCCACCA